GACCCTGACAGTCTGGGCCTGCTTGGTGAAAAGGAGGGAGGACTTGAATGGCATTTTATAACCAGGCCGCAATGTGAACCCTTTTAGCTGGAACCAATCATCTTCTTTGTTAGAAATGTGCAAGGACCATGAGTCTGCTTTTTGTCAACGCCATGTGGGCACAGAACACTGGCCACACAGTTCCTTGGTATGGAGTATGTTCTTAGCAGTGCAAAGCCCCCTGTCACCATTAACCTTGTCTTTTGAGAACTGTTGTTAAACCTCATTCAAGGATATTTCTTTCCCATTGGTTTTTAGAGAAAGCAGAGGGAGGGGAAACGAGACAGAGAAATATCCATGTGAGACAGATACATCGATTGGTTGCCTCCTGCATGCCCCCTAACCCGGGCCAGGGATGGAACCCCCAACCCAGGCATGTGCCCTTGACTGGAATTGAATCTGGGACCCTTCACTCTGTAGGCCAACACTCCTAACCACTGAGCCAACCGGCCAGGGCTAACCTTGCCTTTTGTTTCTCATCCCCCGTTACAGTGAATTGGGGAGCACCTCTCTGCTCAGGACTGTAAGTTTCATTTCACCTTGAAATGAAAGTGTGCTGAAGGTGTCCTTGACAGGATATGTAAAGTCATGTGACAAAACCTCCTTTCCTGTGGAGGATGGTCCCACGTGAGTATCAGGTTCGCCAGAAGAGACCTGAGGGTCAGGTGCTTTGGAAAAAAGCCCCCGATGCAAATAATGGAGGAGCTGACTTGCTTCAAAAGAGAAGAGGCTATTTGTGGATGCAATGGGCCCCAACAGGCTGCCCGCTGCCTTGGAAAATCCGAAGCAGTTCGGCCAGGTGGGCATTACAGAGAGTCTGTCTGGCCATCGGGCCTGCGTAGACCCGGGAAGTAAATTCATCAGGCGTCAGGTAGAGTGGAAAGAACAGCCTCTGTGTTTGAGGGACGGGACTTCCTAGTCAAAATGTTAACTCACACCTGTCCATTCCTTCATGCTATTCACGATTCCATTGCATTCGAAGCACCATCAGTCACAAAGATGAAGAATCAAACACCTGCGAGGGAGCTGGTGAGCAAGCCAGATTGGCCCACAAGGAAGCTGATATTCTAAGAAGTCATAGATCTAGTAATATGCAAAACTGGTTCCAGTTCATGTTTTTCTGACTCCACTGCCCATATTCTTTCTGCAAGTCATCTAATCTGCCAGGTCCTCGGCCACTGAACTAGAAAATAACAAGTCTTCTTTGAGTTTGGGATTCTAAAGATGTATTTTCCATATTTGATGCAACTATTCAGATTAGATGCTGTCATGTTTCAATGACCTATGGCTAACAAACCACTGTGAAACTTATCCGTTTAAATAGCTGCCATTTTATGTGTTCACCGTTCTGTGAGTTGGCGGGGCTCTGCTGGGCTGTTCTTCTGTTGATCTCAGTTTGGGGCGTCTCATGAGGTTGAAGTCAGGTGGCTTTGTTCACATGTCTGGTGTCCCAGTGGGGAAGGTTGGGAGCCTATAACCTTTTTCTTTTTTTATTAATCCTCACTGGAGGATATTTTTCCATTTACTTGTAGAGTGGCAGAGAGAGGGAAAGACAGAAATATTGACGTGCGAGAAACACATCGATTGGTTGCCTTCTGCACGTGCTCTGGCCAAGGCCCGAGCCAGGGAGGAGCCTGTAACCAAGGTATGTGCCCTTTCTGATCACCCTCACCTGATTGGCTCTCTGAACCTCTATGTCATCTTTCCCTGTCACTTGGCCTGTCCATCCTGTAGCACAGATTTGGTGAGACCTATCACAAGCAATGAAACACTCCTAGAGGTGTGACAGCACTGCTAGGTGGAAGTGAAGTGCTTTTGGTGTTTCCAGCACTCTATGTCTCCCTCCCTTTTAGTACATCCTATCCCATTCTCTTAAATAGATCTGCCCCGATTGACCTGGTTTTAATTCTATTTCACTGGGATTTTAAGACAAAAGGATACCCTGCTCCATTGTCCACACTTTAAAGCTGAGCATCACTGGGCAAACATAATTATAAATCTATTTTGTCCCCACGAGAGTAACGAAAAGCATCAGGTAACAGCTGTTTGCAGGGAGCAGGACACTGCTGGGCACCTCTTGAAATCAAAGCATGTGCAAAACCTCTGGAGGCCTGCACTTCAGTCTGGTCTGCTCTGCCTATGGATCCTGAGTATTACTCCTTTGCTACGTACACACACTTGTGTGATCTACAATTTTATTTTAAATATCTCTATATATTTTGTTGATTTCAGAGAGGAAGGATGAGAGATAGAAACATCATTGATGAGAGAGAACCATCGATTGGCTGCCTCCTGCACGCCCCCTACTGGGGATCGAGCATGCAACCCAGGCAGGTGCCCTTGACTGGAATCAAACCTGGGACCCTTCAGTCCGCAGGCAGACACTCTATCCATTGAGCCAAACCAGCCAAGGCATGATCTCCAATTTAATAAGAAACGTCTAGAATGACCAACTTGGATTTGGATGCCTTCTGCTACACAGCTGTATGCTTTGGGGAAAGGAGACTGCTAACCCATCCTTCAGAGATACCTTCCAATTGGAAAAGATCTGACTTCTGGCTTTTCTGTGGCAGGCGACAGTAGCACACACATTTGCAGAAAACGCATTACTCTATCCAAACACATCACTCCACAATGAGGATACACACCACGAAGGAAAGGAGTAGTATAACTTTATTGAAATGTTCCAGTACAGCATTGGAAGATCTTCAGATCGCATGTTCTAAGGCAAGACAAACACTGCAAGTGCTATGTGCCCCATCTAGCTGGCATGTCCCCTACCGAAGGACAGCTATGAGTTAGCGTATGAATGGAGATGAAGTTGGAGGTGAAGCGGTTCTGTATGTTCCCATTTCTCTGCCCCCCTTTTTGGCTGGCTGTACACCAAGGTGGCCTCCACTTTTGCAGGGCTGGGCAGGCTCCACCTCCCCAGTGTTTTCACTTCAATGCTTTCGCATCAGCAGCAACAGAAGCGAATGCTGGGGTGAACTGAACCCAAACAGCTCATGTCAACACCGCCACTGCATGTAGCCTAGTCTAGTCTAAGGAGCTAATCAGTGTATTTGAAGCACTTCCACACACACACACACACACATGTGGTGCTAAAGAATGTAACAATCAGTTCCTAAGTCAGAGAATGACAAGAGATTTTCCATCATGTTTGAATTTTCAGATCACTATTTGAAAATTAACTCTATGTTACTATCCATGTTAGTTAAAATGATTACTTTCAAATCAACTGGTGTTAGCCACGTCAACATGTCCACACTTGTAAGGCCACGCTGTCTACGTATGCGTGTTCGTAACTACATTTTCACTTCTCTAGGCGTAGAGATTCTAAGAAATGCAGGTAGGTATCACTCAGTTATCAAAAATTAAAACTACAAAGCATCTACTTAAACTTTTTACCTCTCTCAAGTCGGCTCTTTTTAAATACAGTCATCTGTAGCGCATAGCTGGCTTTCCCAAACTATGTCACTGCCTCTCCCAAACCATTTAAAGGGGCAAAGAAATGATGTTTCTGCAATGACCACAATGACACTCTTTCACCTCCATCCTCCTCTGCTGCAATGAAGCTCGAGACCTTCAAGACTGCTCTACTGGCTAATGGCTTCAATAGATTTCACATCTGCACACGCAGAATTTAAAGAACTGGTTCCAATTTCCCAGTTTTAAGATTCAGCAGAGGAAGGGGGAGATGGCTGTTTATTATTCTATGCGGGCAAATTCTCCTCTTCTGGGGCTGGAGAATTCAGATGATCGCACACCAACGGGCACGCGATGAAATTCACAAAGAGGCAAGCATGCCTTCTGCAGAGTCGGGGAGGCGCCTCAGGTAGGAGGATGGCATGAAGGGCCATCTTGGGGAGCAAGCAATCTTCCCTCCACCACCACTCCTGGGCCCTCATTTGAATATCATTTCAATGCAAAAACTAAAGCTTACTTATTGGTAACTTTTTCAGGGGTCTTTCTTGCCCCCATTTTTCATGTAGCTGAAATAATCAGTTGCCTAGACTTGCTGCAACTGACTAGGAACAACAAAAGAACATTCCAAACCAAAACGAATGACGTGGAAATAGGCATTTAGTGTAACTCGCCCAATCCACCTTTTTATTTAGGTCAAATGCAAAATGATGATCTGATTAGTCTATGTGAGGGGGCTTTAAACATTTTTGTTTTGGGGAAATTATTGGGGAAAAGGCCAAGTAAAAGCTAGAACTAAAAATGTCACCTAAGACAAGACGACGACAGGACAAGAGATGCCCAAAGAACTGTGAGTCTGGGATGGACAGAAGCCAGCATGGCTGTGACCGTGAGCACAGACACTCTCTCAGCAATGGGTTCTAAATCTGACGGACCACTCAACATCCTTTGGAATTTGAGAACATGACATTTCTAACATGTGACCGTTATATGTTTTTCAGAAGTGGTAACAGTGACTGGCCGTCTTAAACGACATAAAATTTGGTCCCAATTAAGCACAATAACACACACAAAAATCACGGTATTAGACATTTTCTAAAGTATTCTTAAAAGGTCTCATTCTATACCCGAATGGCCATAAGTAGCATTATCCGTGTATGCCTGAATGGAAGTCTTTATCCTAATGTCACCGCTGGGAAACCCTGAACTATATAAATTATGAACTGCCACGCGTTGGAATGACACACTTGAAAGCTGTGGCCTCAAAATGTGGACAGGACAAAGGAAAATGTCACCTGTGAGAACAAGTCAAGATGACAGGAATATTTCTGGTCGATGACAGTGCACAGATCAATCACGCCCGCCCTCACCCCACACTGGAAAGAGCCGGTCTCGAGGTACAGAGGGGGAAACAGTGGGTCTTGGTGGGGGACAGAGATCTGATGTCTTGCGTTCTAACTGCTGAGCCCTAAAGCTAAGAATCAGGTACAAACACACTCCCAGAAGCCGGCAGGCTGGCTCCGTGCTCCCGTCCAGGTTCACAGCGGCACGTGGCTGAACAGGTAGGACACGGACTCCCCGTTGTGGGTCCTGCGGATGGCCTCGGCCAGGATCATGGAGATGTCAATAACCTGAGCGCCAGACACAGAGAAGGCCGGGAAAGGGAGGCATCAGATTTCGTTAAACACACAAAAGCCCCCAATCAGCACTATTTCACAGTCTCCAAATGTGCAGCCTCTTACACCAAACCCTATGGGATCCTGGGAGTGGGACTTTCAAGGCAGATACCCAATAGCTTTGCCGGCCCATGGCTACCCAGAAACACCCTTTTCTTGGAGGGTTGTTGATTTATATATTTTTATTGATGTCAGAGAGGAAGGGAGCGGGAGAGAGATAGAAACATCACTGATGAGAGGGAATCATGGATCGGCTGCCTCCTGCACACCCCCCCACTGGGGATGGAGCCTACAACTCAGGCAAGTGCCTTTGACCGGAATCAAACTCAGGACCCTTCAGTCCGCAGGCCGATGCTCTAGCCACTGAGCAACACCTGCGGGGACCGTTTGTTGTTTTTAAATATAATTGATTTTATTCAGTTATATGGAAGGTTTCTCTCTTGGTTTCAGAAAATGCAGTGACTGAATAACGTTATGAGCGCAGCAATCATGATTCTAACTCAAGGACCAGTCGACAAACTGCTTTTTCTGCAAAGGGCTCAGTAGTAAGTATTTTCTACTTTGTTGTGAGAACAGCCAGATAATATATAAATGAACGGGTGTGGCTGTGTTCCAATAAAACTTTATTTACAGAAGCAGATGGTGGGCCGGATTGGGCCCGGGGGCCATTGCTTGCAGACTCTCAACTGCGGCTAATCAGATGGACTTATTGGCCATATGTTAATTCTGCTTAGCTTCAGCACAGCCTGTTTCCTACTGTTCTTTTTTCTTTAAATATGTTTTTACTGATTTCAGGGAGGGAGAGAGAGAGAAACATCAATGATGAGAGAGAAGCATGATCGGCTGCCTCCTGCACACCCCACACTGGCGATGGAGCCTGCAACCTGGGCATGTGCCCTGATCAGGAATCAAACTGTGACCTCCTGGTTCATAGGTTTACACTCAACCACTGAGCCACACCGGCTGGGCCCTATGTTTTATTATTGTGGTTTTATTCACTTACTATTTCCGACTTTGACCTCTGCCAGCCCCCGCCTTTCTCAGGGACCTGACATGCATTAGGCCCTCCCACGGGAGAAGCCGCGGCCTCTGCTGACAGGGGCCTCAGTCCCACCCAGAAGGCGCGATGGCGGTTTTCGGGATCTAAGGTAGGCCTGGCGGCCTGGCTCCGCCGGCAGTGTAGACAGTACCTGGATCTTGGAGCAGTGGGTCATCTTGTCCTCCTGAGGGATTGTGTTTGTGACCACCACGGCCTCGAAGGCGGCACTGTTTATTCTGGAGATAGCTGGCCCGGAGAAGATCCCGTGGGTAAGGATGGCGTACACTTTGGTGGCTCCGGCCGAGATCAGCCTATAAAACGGAAGACAAGAAAACAACAAACAAAAAACCAACCGCCAAACAAACAGTCCCTTCTTAGTGTGAATTTAAAAGGAGAAAGTATGTTCTATAAAGGAAAGCATGAAACCAATTTCATTCCCATGTATTAGCCGAAAACGATCTTTAAGGTATGTGCTGGCAATGTACTTGGTCTGCCTTGAACCCAGGACTACTGACCTTGGCCTTGGGCCCGGGAATTCTCTGTTGTGGGAATTCTCTGTTGCGCTGCACCCCTGGATTGCCCTGTGGCGATTGCTCCCACCCCTCAGCTGGAACAACCCAAAATGTCTCTTAGGGAGCAAGACTACCCTTGGCTGAGAGCCGCTGGTTTAAACCCCAACAGCCAGAATACCATTATGTTGGCATATGAACATAAAAAAAAAAAATCATTGCTTTTGCTTTGTTATCAAGCCTGCAAACCAAAGTATGTGCCCCCAACTGAAATCAAACCCGGATCCTTCAATCCTCAGGCCGACACTCTATCTACTGGGCCACACCGGCCAGGGCCACTGAGAGACTGTATGTTCTTCGTTTTGTGCTGTCTTTGAAGGCTGCAGTGAAGGCTGAACAGAAGAAGTGGGGCCCAAGAAAGCCCGAAAGAGGGTCTCTTTCCTTCTGTGCTGTTTCTAGGGACCCTTTATAAAATCTGCTGACAGCTCAACCTTGAACATGGAAACCAGGCCATAGAGGACCAAGGTCTTCTTCCTACCAAGGAAAAATAAAAAGGCCTACAATCTTCTTTGGTCTGAAACGCCACAGCTAAGCAAACAGAAATAATTAAGAAAAATAGTGCCCAGCTGGCATGGCTCAGTGGTTGAGCATCTACCTATGAAACAGGAGGTCGGGGTTCGATTCCCGGTCAGGGCATATCCTGGGTTGTAGACTCGATCCCCAGTGTGGGGCGTGCAGAAGGCAGCCGATCCATGATTCTCATCAGTGATGTTTCTCTCTCTCTCTCTCTCTCTCTCTCTCTCTCTCTCTCTCCTTTCCTCTCTGAAATCAATAAAAATGTATTTTAAAAAGAAAAACAGGCCTGGTTTTTTAAAGCTGAAATTCCCCCTTCTTAATGAGACAGCCTAACACTTCCCCAAACCGCCCCTCATACTTGTCAGCAGCGTGGCAGATGGTGCCACACGTGTCGGCCATGTCATCCACAAGGATAGCCACGCGGTTCTTCACGTCGCCCACCAGCACCATCCGGTCCACTTCGTTCGCCTTCTTCCTCTCCTTGTGGATCAAAGCAAACTCCACGTTCAGCCTGTCCGCTATGGATGTGACCCTGCGCAGACGCAAAAGGACTGGTTAACTCTGGCCCATCAGAACATCTCATTCTTTCCAGCTGAATGTTAGCAATGTCCTAGCCCAGTGGTCAACAAACTCATTAGTCCACAGAGCCAAATATCAACAGGACAACGACTGAAATTTCTTCTGAGAACCACATTTTTTAACCTTAACCTTCTTCTAACGTTACTTCTTCAAAATAGACTCACCCAGGCCATGGTATTTTGTGAAAGAGCCACACTCAAGGGGCCAAAGAGGTGCATGTGGCTCGTGAGCCACAGTTTGCAGACCACCGGCTTTGTAAATGCATCATGGAGCTGGGAGAGCAGAGGGCATCCGCAGAAACAGAGCCTGAAAAAGCAGGTGATCCTGAGAAGCTGGAATGCAGCTAAGGTCTTGTTCTGCGGACCTTAAATCATCTTGTTTGCTTTCGATGGCGGAGGTAAGGGGGGGTGAGAGAAGGTAAAGGGGGGTGAGAGGAGGTAAGGGGGGGTAAGAGGAGGTTGGGGGGGTGAGAGGAGGTAAAGGGGGTGAGAGGAGGTAAGGGGGGGTGAGAGAAGGTAAGAGGGGGTGAGAGGAGGTAAGGGGGGGTGAGAGGAGGTAAGGGGGGGTGAGAGGAGGTAAGGGGAGTGAGAGGAGGTAAGGGGGGGTGAGAGGAAGTAAGGGGGGATGAGAGGAGGTAAGGGGGGGGGTGAGAGAAAGCCTCCAGCTCAGCTGAGACCAGAGTGTAATGGGAGACTCTGTATGATGATGGAAGTTAGCTCTTCAGAGTAGGTCACAGCAGGTTTACCTTTACTCGCCTCTTCTCTGAAGTCAATAAAATATTTCTTTAATTAAACCTGAACTACTGAGTCTCACAATCTCTGTGTACCAGTTTTGGTTAATAATGACTCCCTCAACAGTGGCAGATGTGTTTCCTTCTAAGGTTTATTTCTTCTTAGCTGTCAACCCAATCACGCTTCACAAACTACCCAAGAGCGCCCTCTTGTGGCGACATTAAGTACTTTTTGACTGGGAACCAGTTAAGCCTCAAAGCTTTTTCTAAGGCAGCAAGTTCTCATTTGCGGGATAGATATACACCGAGTGACCAGATGATGATGATCTCTGAACGCATAATAATCTAGCCACTCAGTGTCTGTCCCATAGAATAAAAGGCTAATATGTAAATTGGCCCCTTGACCAGGAGTTTGACCAGCAGGCAGGCCGTCCAACCACCCATGTTCCCTCTCCTGGCCAGGCTGGCCGGACCCCATCCATGTACGAAATCATGCACCGGGCCTCAACTATATATACACTGAGTGGCCAGATTATGATGCATTCAGAGATCATAGTAATCCGGCCACTCAGTGTGTATGTTCCTTGGTAAAATACAACTTTTTGCACCAAGTACAGAAGCCACAGGTAATGTCAACTGCACAGATCACGTGTTACCTGCAAGGCTGTTCTGTCAGCTGGGAAGAGCCCAGTCCAGCCTGAGGATGACAAGGTGTAGCAGCAACTGGGGAAAGGGGGGAAGGGAGAGGCAAACACTTCCAGAGGAACAGCCCTGCAAACCCCCGACTCCCCTGGCAGAGGGGGCAGGGGTGGGGCTGCAAGGCCTGTGAGCAGTCTTTCAATGCCGGCCGGCCCCTTACTCTGCTAGCTCGGTGGTCAACAAACAGCAGCTTGCGAGCCACAGGCAGCTCTTTGGCCCCTTGAGTTTTTAGCAAAGGCCAGCTTAGGATGACCCTAATTAAGTTAATAACAATATACCTACCTATATAGTTTCAGTTTTAAAAAGTTGGCTCAAAAGAAATTTCAAGCATTGTATTGTTGATATTTGGCTCTGTTGACTAATGAGTTTGCCGACCACTGTGCTAGCTCATTCTGCCCTTTTCATTTTTATTCTTTTTTTGAGAGAGAGTGAGCGTGAAAGGAAGAGGTAGAGACAGACAAACATCAATGTGAGAGAGATGCATTGATTGGTTGCCTGTTGCATGCGCCCCAACTAGGGCCACGGATTGTCCTTGACCAGAATCGAACCTGGGACCCTTCAGTCATCAGGCCAATACTCTACCCACTGAGCCAAACTGGCTAGAACTGATTCTGCCCTTCTTAAAGCAAGAGCTGACAGGGGGACTTTCCATAAAAGACGGTGTTTTGTCAGTAAGGGGAAGCTATTATTTATTCAATAGTTTTAGAACAACTAGATGGCTGAGGGGAAAACAGAGTTGGATTCTTATTTCACTCTCTATTCCAAAAACAGTTTTCAACCGAAACCGGTTTGGCTCAGTGGATAAAGCGTCAGCCTGCAGACTGAAAGGTCCCAGGTTCGATTCTGGTCAAGGGCATATACCTTGGTTGCAGGCACATCCCCAGTAGGGGGTGTGCAGGAGGCAGCTGATCGATGATTCTCTCTCATCGATGTTTCTAACTCTCTATCCCTCTCTCTTCCTCTCTGTGAAAAATCAATAAAATATATATTTTTTAAAAATGCCAAAAAACAGTTTTCAGGTAAAAGAAAATTGGATCATTAAAAAAGAAAAGAATGACTTGGGCTGGTGAACACACAATACAATATACAGATGATGGATTATAGAAGTGTATACCTGAAACCTAGATAATTTTATTAACCAATGTCACCCCAATACATTCAATAAAAAATAAAAATAAAATAAAGACCTTAAAGTAAACAAAATCATGGGAGAAGAAAAATGTTGTTAGAGGGCGAATCCTTCAGAAACCCAGGAGCCATAATTGAAGAAGAGATACCGTGTTTTCCCGAAAATAAGACCTAGCGCATGGAAAGGTAAGACATCCCCTGAAAATAAGACCTAGCGCAACTTTGGGAGAAAAAATTAATGTAAGACACTGTCTTATTTTCGGGGAAACAGGGTAGATAGGACTACATAAGAATGTTTTAAAAGCTGGAACCGATTTGGCTCAGTGGATAGAGCGTCGGCCTGCAGACTCAAGGGTCCCAGATTCGATTCCGGTCAAGGGCATGTACCTTGGTTGTAGGCACATTACCAGTGGGGGGTGTGCAAGAGGCAGCTGATGTATGTTTCCCTCTCATCAATTTTTCTAACTTTCTATCCCTCTCCCTTCCTCTCTGTAAGAAATCAATAAAATATATTTTTAAAAATGTTTTAAAAGTCCTGCAGAGAACAAAAATACACAAAGGGGAGAAATGAAAAACTTGGGGAAATATCAGCCCCCCTTCCCCCCTCTCCCCCACAACCAAGCACACAAGGAACAAAGGCATGACCTCTCCCTGGGCCGCACTCCTTACAATGCAAACTAAAGGCCTCCAGCCAAGAGAACAATAAGTAACAGACAAGAACAGACCTTCGTGGAAAATAAACACGCTGGAAAGGGCACCTGACCTTATCCACAGCAGCCCAGGCAAAGGTTTGTACTGACAGAGAGGAAGGCTCACGCACACACAGCGCCTCAGGCAGGTTCCAGAAGGCACTGTTGTCACAGAAGATGAAGCTCTTCCAGGGGGATAAGATGTGGAGGTGGTTGCCCTGGCCGGTGTGGCTCAGTGGATAGAGCATCGGCCTATGGACTGAGGAGTCCCAGGTTCGATTCTGGTCAGGGCACATGCCCAGGTTGCGGGCTCTATCCCCAGGGTGGGACATGCAGGAGGAGAATCCGTGATTCTCTCACATCATGGATGCTTCTGTCTCTCCCTCTCCCTTCCTCTCTGAAATCAATAAAAAGAACCATATATATGATATTGAGTGGAAGACAGTGATATTGATGATCCAGACCTGTGTAGGCCTAGGCTAATAATGTGGGTGTGTCTTAATTTCTAACAAGAAAGTTTAGTAAAAAAAAAATTTTTAAATAAAAGCCTTATAGAATAAGAAGGTAAAAAAATACAGGGTGTCCCCCCAAAATACAAACTTTCACAGTGAGTAGCTCCATTTTGACAATGAAATGTATTTTTAATAAACACTGCCTTTACAATTATTCAAAGTGTGTGTGTACATTCTTTGGGATATTTTTGTACAATGTGTTTGTTTCAAGCTAAGTGTTACTACAAAGGAATTAAGAAGTTAAACAGAACTTTAAAATTTAAAAAAAAAAAAAAAAAAAAAAAACTACAGTAAGCCAAGATTAATTTATGATGGAAGACATTTAAAATGTACAGTGGACTACAGCAGTGTACACTGTTGTCCTAGGCCAGTGGTCGGCAAACTCATTAGTCAACAGAGCCAAATATCAACAGTACGACGATTGAAATTTCTTTGGAGAGTCAAATTTTTTAAACTTCTTCTAATGCCACTTCTTCAACATAGACTCGCCCAGGTCGAGGTATTCTGTGGAAGAGCCACACTCAACGGGCCAAAGAGCCGCATATGGCTCGCAAGCCACAGTTTGCCAACCAGGGTCCAAGCCTTCTCATGCACTATCCCTCACTCACTGAGTCACCCAGATCAGCTTCAGTCCTACAAGCTGCATCACGATAAGTGCCCCATACAGGTGCACCATTTGTATCTTTCATGCTGTATTTCTACTGTGCCTCTTCTTACCATTATGTTACAACTGCCTACAGCATTCAAGTATATTGACAAGCCTAGGAGCAACAGGTTACACCATGCAGTCTAGTTGTGTAGCAATCTATACCATCTCGGTTTGTGCAAGTACACTCTGTAAAGTTCACACAACAACGATCTCGCCTAATGATGCATTTCTCAGAACATATTCCTGTCGTTAAGCGACACGTGACAGTACAAACAGTACCTAAGAGTGAAGATCAGAAACTGGTTGAAGGAATCATAACATACACACACAATGGGGTATTACCCAGCGGCAAAAAAACAACGGAGCAAATGAAGTCTTAATAAAAGCACAGTGAAGGAGTATGTACAGCACGTTACCATTTGTGAAATAAAAAGGGAGAAGAATGTCATTCCGACATGGGAAAGAATTCAGGTCTCTAAAGAAAGGAACAGGAAATGCTACTCTGTTTGAATGATTGCGAAGACCATTATATTTTTAGACTATATATTGAAAACTAGGGCTGGGATAGGAAAAGGCACAAAGGTTTCTGGAATGGATTATTCTTTTGGCTTATTAGCTGCCAATGTAACTTTTTTTTGTTTAAAAAAAAAAAAAAGAAATATGAGACACAAAAGCCACATATTGTATGATCCCATTTATATGAAACCGGTGGCCCAGAGCACAAAATTCATGCACTGGGGCGGGGGGCGGGGGGGGGAGGGGATGTTCCTCAGCCCAGCCTGTACCCTCTCCAATCTGGGACCCCTCGAAGGATGTTCTACTATCGGTTTCCAGGGATCAGGCTTAAACCGGCAGATGGACATCCCTCTCGCAATCCAGTACTGCTGGTTCCTAACCGCTCACCTGCCTGCCTGCCAGAGAGCCCATTCCATGGACAGGAAGGAGATGGGTGGTTGCCAGGCTGGAGCGAAAGGGAACGGGGAGTGACTGCTAATGGGCATGGCGTTTCCTTTGGGGGTGATGGAAATGTTCTGAAGTAGATAGCAGTGACGATGCACAAATCTGTGAATATACTGAAAACCACTGAACTGTGCACTCTATTTTTAATTTCTAGAGAAAAAGGAAGAGGGGGAGAGTGAGAGAGAGAGAAACATCAATGAGAGGGAACATCACTGATAGGCTGCCTATTGCATGGCCCCCACTAGGGATTGAGCCTGCAACACGGGCACGCGCCCTGACTGGGAATCGAACCAGTGACCTCTTGGTTCCTGGGTAGACACTCAACCACTGAGCCACACAGATTGAGCTAAACTGTGAACTTTAAATGGGCAAACTGTAGGTATGGGAATTATTTCTCAAGACAGGTGTTATTATTTTTTTTAATATATTTTTATTGATTTCAGAGAGGAAGGGAGATGGAGAGAGAGAGAATATCAATGATGAGAGAGAATCATTGATCGCTGCCTCCTGCACACCCCCTACTGGGGATTGAGCCCGCAACCTAGGCATGTGCCCTTAAATGGACTCGAACCCGGGACCCTTCAGTCCACAGGCCGACCCTCTATCCACTGAGCCAAAGCAGCTGGGGCAAGAAAGGTGTTATTAATAACAGTTCCATCTCATGCTCATGTGCCCCTTGGCCCACCTATTCCCCTCTAACCTTCCATCAGCCAGTGGACTTGCCATATTGAACACAGACTGCGGTGTGTGCCTTAAGTCCGTGCCAAGTACACCGCAAACATGCCACTGGAAACCACTCCCCATGTCCTTCCAGTCCCGTCTTCCCAGCCACACGGCACACCGTGTCTGCACCTGGGGGCCTGGCGAGGCTGACCCGGTGCTGCTCCTGCCCCGTCGCTGCCCGGCTGGGGTCTCTGAAAGCTGACCTCTGCTTCTGCCTCTTACACATGTGTGATCTCCTCCCAGGGCCACTTTCTGTTGCTGCCCAGTTGGCCCGCAGGTGGACGAGAGGCAAATGAAGGGCAGGCATTTGCATTTTAAACATGCCCCGCCCTGGCTGGTGTGGCTCAGTGGCTAGAGCATTGGCCTACAGACTGAAGGGTCCCAGGTTCGATTCCGGTCAAGGGCATGTACCCGGGTTGCCGGCACATCCCCAGTAGGGGGTATGCAGGAGGCAGGTGATCGATGTTTCTCTCTCATCAATGTTTCTAACTTTATCCCTCTCCCTTCCTCTCTGTAAAAAAAATAAATAAATAAATAAATAAATAAATAAATAAATAAATAAATAAAAATAAATAAACATGCCCTAAAGCTTGGTGTCACCATCTCCCCCAGCACATTTAGCTCCCCTGCTTTCTCACCGGCCTGGACAGCGGCCTTTTCTAGTTACTCCTCACCCGAGGATATTTTCCCATTGATTTTTAGAGAGTGGAGCATGGGAGGGGAGTGAGAGGGAGAGAAACATGGATGTGAGAGACATGTCAATTGGTTGCCTCTTGCATGTGCCCCGACCCAGACCTGAGATTGAGCCTGCAACCCACCTGCATGCCCTTGATCGGAATCGAACCCATGACCCTTCAGTCAGAGGGCTGCCGCTCTATCCATTGAGCCACACCAGCTAGGGCTGGAGGTCTCTCTTACCTCTCCCTTCCTGATGGAGGCACCTGACTGGGCGGTAAAACTCCACTCCACCTTTTCTCCCTTCCCAGGAAGCAGTGGCAGTCCTGCAAGGTCACCTTGAGCTGCAGGCCCTGGCAGGCAGGAGCACTGCCTGGACCTGCTGCCCCTTTAGTCCTGGAGTCTGCAGAGCCTTCCAGATCTTTCCGCGCCATCCACCGATGTCACTCAGCGCCTGCACCCTGCTGCCCAGGCCTCCGGTTTGATGTCTCCCCCATTCAAAGGCCCAGGTACATTCAGCTTGGCCTTCCTCCGGGCTGCAGGGGAGAGGTCACCCTTTCTGCCCCCTTCTCTCTGGAAGCTTCCATGTGGATGCCAACACCCGAGCCGCCACCTTCTTCCTGGATCTGACACGTGACCCCCATGCCACCAGAGCACAGCTTTCAACCTTTCTTTCTTGGCCCCATGTAGCCCCCTTTCTTTCTTTTTTTAAAAATATGTTTTTATTGCCCTGGCCAGTTTGGCTCAGCAGATAGAGCATTGGCCTACAGAATGAAGGGTCCCAGGTTCGACTCTGATCAAGGGCATGTGCCTTGGTTGCAGGCACATCCCCAGTGGGAGATGTGCAGGAGGCAGCTGATTGGTGTTTCTCTCTCATTGATGTTTTTGTTTTTAACTCTCTATCCCTCTCCCTTCCTCTGTGTAAAAGGTCGGTGAAATACATATTTTTTTAAAAATAAATAAATAAAAATATGTTTTTATTGATTTTAAAGAGAGGGGAAGGGAGCCGGAACCGGTTTGGCTCAGCGGTAGAGCATCGGTCTGTGGACTGAAAGGTCCCAGGTTCGATTCCGGTCAAGGGCATGTACGTTGGTTGCGGGCACATCCCCGGTAGGGGGTGTGCAAAAGGCAGCTGGTCGATGTTTCTCTCTCATTGACATTTCTAGCTCTCTATCTCTCTCCCTTTCTCTCTGTAAAAAAATCAATAAAATATATTAAAAAAAAAAAAAAAAGAGAGAGAGAGAGGGGAAGGGAGAGAGGGAGAAACATGCATGGCAGGGGATCATTGATCGGCTGCCTCCTACACGCCCCCTACTGGGGATTGAGCCTGCAGCCTAGCATGTGCCCTGATGGGGAATTGAACCCGCAACCTCTTGCTCAACCACTGAACAACACTGGGCAGGGCATCCCTTTCTTTCTTGGTGTTCCATGAACACCTATTGCTTTTTTTAAAAAAAATATTTTTAAAACTATATATTTTATTGATTTTTTTACAGAGAGGAAGAGAGAGGGATAGAGAGTTAGAAACATCTAACTGGGATGTGCCTGTAACCAAAGTACATACCCTTGACCGGAATCAAACCCAGGACCTTTCAGTCCGCAGGCTGATGCTCTATCCACTGAGCCAAACTGGTTTTGGCTCCAAGTGTTTGTAGTAGGAAGGGTCATCTTAGTCAATCGTGTTGTTAATTAAGTCTTATTTTCCAATTAGGCTATTGCTTTTATTAATATACTAGAAGCCTGGTGCACAGATTTGTGCACTGGTGGGGTCCCTCAGCCTGGCCTGCAGGGATTGGGCCAAAACTGGCTCTCCAACATCCCCCGAGGGGTCCTGGATTGCTAGAGGATGCAGGCCAGACTGAGGGACCCCAATGGGGCATGGATGCACGGGGACTCTAGTGTGCATATAAGATCTTTGGTTACTCTCTTCCCACCCTCCCCTACCCTCTGAGATTCATCACTCTGTTCCATGTTTCCATGCCAGTGGTTTCCGCTCCTGCGTTGAGCGTCTGCCCCTGGTGGTCAGTGCACATCATAGCTACTGGCCGTTCAGCCAGTTGGCTGGTCGCTTAGGCTTTTATATAGAGAAATTTTTATTGATTTCAGAGAGGAAGGGAGAGGGAGAGTGAAAGACAGAAACATCCATGATGACAGAGAATCACTGGCTTCCTCCTGCACTTCCACACTGGGGATCAAGTTTGCAACCCAGGCACGTGCCTTTGACCGGAACTGAACTGGGGACCTTTCAGTCCACAGGCCAACGCTCTATCTACTGAGCCAAACCAGCTAGGGCTAGGCCTATGGTCGGTAAACTGCAGCTCATGAGCCACATGTGGCTCTTTGGCCCCTTGAGTGTGGCTCTTCCACAAAATACCATGGCCTGGGCGAGTCTGTGTTGAAGAAGTGGCATTAGAAAAAGTTGAAGTTTAAAAAATGTGGCTCTCCAAAGAAATGTCAATCATTGTACTGTTGATATTTGGCTCTGTTGACTAATGAGTTTGCTGACCACTGGGCTAGGCTATTGCTTTTATAATAATAATAATAATAATAATAATAATAATAATAATAATAATTAAAAAACACCTTATTAAAAACTCAAGATATACTCTTTGCTGAAAACAAATACAGGTGTATGAACTTCTTTTCTCCCAGGAGTGATGAAATGTTGACCAAGAGGACAGTGCTCTGCTCCGGAGGCGAAGCCGGCTGCTCCATACTCCCTCATTTGCAAAATAAAGTATTAAATTATTTTGAATACGCTTCCTCCTCTGAGGCACAGGAAAGGAGAGAAGCAGCCAGCTAATGCAGACACCTGCCTGCTGGGGCCACGCCTACCTTTTGGCGCCGCCCGCATCCGGGGACACGATGATACAGTTCTTCCAGTCCGCGATGTT